CTCAGTCCATTATTTGATTTAGTGACCAAAGGAAAACAACCTGAAAATTTTCATTGTAGTTCCATCTGGAGCACTTGCCACAGTGGAACAAATTAATGACATCTTGAATATTCAATTTGTGGACAGGATTCCACATAACCATTGTCAGTTAACACTTTTGATTGTGAACACTCTAACACTACCTACATGTTCAATCACTGAAGTGACACCTTCATTGCTAGTCTTAGAGTAGATCCACATTTTTCACACACCTAGAGCCACTCTCACTCAAACATCAGCTCTATTTGCTCAAATAATTATGAAAGGCCGCCAGCTGTCCAAAGCTCTGGCTGGCATTGAACCTTCTACACTGTATGTTCCATGTTCCCTTTCTACTTGGGAAACGTTGTTTGTCAACTGTGAACAACTTCAGTTTGCACTTGCAGACTGGGTTGGCACTGTCTCTTGTCATCCACCCCCGGATCCCCGCTTGCAACTTCTCAAAACTTTACCTTTCACTTGGCAATCACCTTTTCGACCTCATCCTATTCCAGATGCCATCACAGTGTTTGCTGATGGCAGTAAAAAATATGGCCCAAAGAGTAGAACTTTTTGCTTCTATATTGGCTTTTCAACACTTTTCTGATGAACCTTTTAACCTCATCCTGGACAGTCTGTATGTCACTCAAATTGTTAGCTCTCTCTACACTTATTTCTGCTCGACATTTTCCTTTCCTTGTTTCACACATTTGAAGCCACCAGCCTCTTCCTGGAATACTTCATAAAGGCAATGATGTGGCCGATGCTGCAGCTGCGGCTGCCTTTGCTACTATCTCACTATCTGTTCTGTCTCTCTCCCCCCAGTCTCCTTTGGAGGGTCATGCTTATTTTCATCAAAATAAAAAGGCGCTCATGAAACAATTTGGTTTAATGGCTGCTGAGGCATCTGCCATGATACAACAATGCCCTACCTGCAGCCACCAAGGTCACTCTCTTCCGATGAGGGTTAACCTCAGAGGAACAGTGGCCTGTCAACTTTGGCAAATGGATGTTACTCAATATCCATTCTTTGCTCCATGGAAATTTTTGCATGTCTCAGTGGATACCTTCTCAGGCTTCATCATGGCCACCCCTCAAAGGGGAGAAGCCACTAAACATGTAATCAATCATTGTATTCGGACCTTTGCATCGCTGGGATGCCCCAAAGAACTAAAAACAGATAATGGCCCCGCCTACACCAGTGCTGCATTTGCAGACTTCTGCAGGCGGTGGAACATTACACATAAATTTGGAATTCCATAAAAACAGCCCTTGACTGGTACATCAGCCAACAGGGGAAAAATGCCCCTGGTCTCCCAGCAGTGCAAGACATCCTTAATCTCTGTCTATATACTTTGAATTTTTTAAACTTAATTGGCAACCCACACACCTCTGCAGCAGAGAGGCGTTTTTCTTTTCCCTCCCTTTCTCTTCCCGCCCACAGGTACTCCCTGATCCTACCTGGAAAGGGCCTGTTGATCTCATCACTTGGGGAAGAGGCTACGCAGCAGTCCAACTGCCTGAAAATGTCTTGTGGGTCCCTGGTCGCTGCGTCCAGCCTTACTTTGCGCCACCTCCTGTCACGCCATCCACAGAACAGCAGTAGATGTGTGACCACTGCATCTGCCAGTGCGGCTGTCAGTGCTGTTTTTGGTGCAACGCCTGTGCCCTGCAACATTATGCCTGCCCTGGGGTGCAAGATTTTTGTATTGACCACATCGATCCTGATTACATCGCTGAATATGACTTCTACTACCCTGAAGAGGGAGTCACAGAACTCTGACTCATCAGCCGTGACTCCCCCAAGGCCTGGGGAGGAACTCCACAGATGGCTAGACACCCCCTTTCAATCTACCAGAGGGGTGCAACACCGTATCCGGCCTCGGATCACACGAGCTGCCCCCCCCCAGTTGAAGGACACTGCTCACCATGTCTTAAAGTCACCAAAGAAGACACCAAACTTACCAGCACCTTGGTTTATTTTTCATCCTATAATTGCCATATACAGCACACCTCAAAATGCACACTTAATGGGACTTCCTATTCCATTTGCATGGACAACAATCAAACAATATGCTATAACCCAAAAGCCCCTACCATGAAACATTTAGCTTCTCAAAGTGTCAAATCCAGAAACTATATTATGCAAAACCGCCTAGCTTTAGATTATTTGTTAGAAAAAGAAAGGGGGGTATGTGGGAAATGGGGTATGTGGGAAATTGGGTATGTGGGAAATTGGGTATGTGGGAAATTTAATTTGTCAAATTGTTGCATTGAAATAGATGACTCAGGCAATGTGATCGCTGAAGTCAGTGAAAAAATGGTCCGCCTTGCCCATGTCCCTGTCCAAACATGGAAGGGATTTGACATGCATTCTCTTTTTGGATCATGGTTTCCAAAATTGCCAGGCCTGCAAGCCATTGTTGCGCTCATTGGTAAGATCGCTTTAGGATGCTTACTTTTGTCTTGTGTATTATCTATTTTTATTCGCACCATATCAAATAGCTTGTCACTGCTAGCAGAAAAACGTGCAACAGCTCAGGTAATGTCACTATGGGAACGGCATGGATACGTTCCTCTCCCCACGGATGACCTAGAATCCATAAAGGACTCACATCGTCAATTTTGCTCAGACAGCGAAGCAGAGACCCTCATCACACAGTCACTGTTGCCTATGGATGAGCAGGAGGAAGAACAGCATGAGCCCGAGGGGAGGGAGGACAGGCCGGTCGCCCAAGAAGAAGAGTCAACCATCTTTTAATAAATAAAAAGAGAGGAGATGTTGGGATTTTTATGATTCAGGCTTCTATAGTAAGACTAGGCCAGTGGCCAGCTTGTGTATTAGAGGCCTAGGACAATAAGTAGGGCAACCACATTGTTGGGAATGATTATTGCAATGGTCAGGTAATTTTGCTTTGCATTAGCTAAGAATCTGACCATGTACAAAAAGCAAGTAAGAAAATGTAGCTGCATTGCATAGTGATGGCCAACCTTTTAGAGACCGAGTGCCCAAACTGCAACCCAAAACCCACTTATGCATCGTTGGGTGCCGGGTGGGTGTGGCCCATTGGGTGGGCATGGTTGCAGTGGTAACGGCAGACTGGGTGGGATCAAAAAGTTCAATTGATCAATTCCAACTTTGTAAGATCTTTTTTTTTTCCACGAGAAGTTGAAATTGACTGATTGAACCTTTTTTTTTTGTACACGGCGGCGGAGGCCTAAAGCAAAAAGGTTTTATAAAAGCCAGTTGAAGGTCTAGGACTGGGGCGACGGTGCACGTGCCCACAGAGAGGGCTCTGAGTGCCGCCTCTGGCACCCGTGCCATAGGTTCGCCACCACTGGCATATGTAATTTTTATATCCTGTTCCAAACCACATAATGTTTCCCTGCCTTGCTGTATCTGAACATCTTGTAACAGGAAAAGCTCTATAGAAATGTATTCACACCTGCTGTTGCAAACTACGCAGAAACGCTAGCCACAGAGCCTGTCCGGATAACTCCAGACATGAGAGAAAACCACATCCTATGGAAAGCATTAACCAATTATATGCTAAGACATAACTGCATGTTAACCCACTTAATTTTCTGCCAATTATATGATAGCATGCACTTATTGACTGCACATGTAACCAATCATGTAACAAGCGTGTACTTCCTCATATGTGCCAAATAAAAGAGGAACACGGGATACGCCCTACGGTTCACTCGTCCAGAGGATAGCCGTGTGTTGTCTTCTCTTGTCAGTCAAGATTCATGAGTGACCCCACCCTAATGTGGCAAGCCTGAAAACGCCACAGAGTCTCAACATCTTTTTTACATCGCGGTGACCAAAACTGGATGCAGCATTCCAAGTATGGACTTACCAAGGCATTGTAGAGTGGTATTAACACTTCACATGATCTTGATTCTATCCCTCTGTTAATGCAGCCTAGCACTGTGTTGGCTTTTTTGGCAGCTGCAGCACACTGCAGCTGCCAAATTCAGCACAAATTCAGAGGCATTGTCTCCATTATTTCCAGTTTCTGTATTGCTTCTTTATTTCATATAAAAAAGTAAACACAAGAAGTCCTCGACTTACAACAGTTCATTTAGTGACTGTTCAAAGTTACAACGGCACTGAAAAAAGGGACTTAGGACCGTGTTTTGCACTTATGACCATTGAAGTATCCCCATGGTCACGTGATCAAAATTCAGATGCTTGGCAACTGGCTCATATTGAAACCTTCTCATATCCCGAGATCATGTGATCTCCTTTTGCGACCTTCTTACAAGCAAAGTCAATGGGGAAGCGAGATTCACTTAACAACTGTGTTACTAAACTGCAGTGATTCACTTAACAGCTATGGCAAGACAGTTCGTAAAATGGAGGAAAATTCACTTAAATGTCTCGCTTAGCAACAGAAACTTTTGGGCTCAATTTTGGTCATAAGCCAAGGACCACCTATGTCACAAAGAGCTCCATGATCAAGGGTGGAGCTGAATCTGGGTTTTATCAGGGCCAATCTAACTTCTTCGCCACTGTGCTCCCCTCTCAACTTTCCACTCTGCTTCCTTCTCTAGATACGGTTGCTGATTCGTGTGATCCTAAAGCTGCTGAGATTGTAGGAGGCAATTATACTCTACTGGACAATGGAACCACATTGCTCTATGAGTGTCCTCGGGGACAGTATCCACATCCGACACAATTCCGGTTTTGTAAGGATGGCAACCAGTGGAGCCCCTTGACCGGCAGGGATGGCAGGATTGTCCAGCAGGCTGTGTGTCAAGGTACGTTGGTTCATTTCTCAACAGAGAGGCATTGTATGACATCTCCCCTCTTCCTCTTGTAACTTATCGCCAACCAAGTCCTGGGTTTTCCACCAAAGACCTTTTGTAATTGTATAAAAAACTGTGGGAGTTGCTAGCAGCTCAAGGTTTATTCAAAGTGCAAAAGTATGTTTACTTTTTTTTAATCTATTGAAAACGTTTATAAAGCCGCCTATCTTAAAAACAAGTCTGGGAAGCTTATCTATATAAATAAAAATGTAAATGTTCGTTTGTTCAAAATCTTAAATCTCCTAAAGTTCTTCACCGATTGCTTTGAAATTTTGACACAACGTTGCATTCGAATACGCGTGTGTTTTTATATACCTACTATTATATAGATGTCACACTTGTGACAGGTAAAAACATGCTTTTTTTGAAAAACAGTGCCATCTGTTGGACGTAAAAGCAACACACGCTACGATTTTACGATTCCATTTCAATGTTTCCGATTTACGATCCATTTACGATTTCCAAATTTACAATTTTACGATTCCATGTCAATGTTTCTGATCGCATTGTTAAATTGAATTTTCATAGATTTTGATTTATTTTCGTTTTGATTTAATTATTTCGTGTGTCGGCAAACCAGACAATCTCTATATCTGCACAGACAATGGAACAACAAAAAATATTGTATACCCACAAGCATTGTGAAATTAAACATATTACAAACGTGCGCTTTCTCTTTTCTTTCTTTTCCATTTAACCAGACTGAGCCACAGCAACGCGTGGCCGGGTACAGCTAGTAACCAATAAAACAAGAATAAAAGGAACAACAATAATGCTAAAAGCAGGAAAGCAGCCTGCAACCCTGAAGCACTCCCACTACCATTTAATTTTTAACTTATTCGATCTGTGTTTTTATTTGGCTCCCATTTCCCTCAACATGATACATATTGCGTTTTTATGTGATTGCCATGCTTTTATCTGTAAGCCGCCCAGAGTCACTCTAAGAGTGAGAGGGGCAGTACCTATGCTTGATAAATGAATAAAAAGAAGTCTGGGTGGCACAGTGGTTAAATGCAATGCTGTAGACAAACTCTGCCTACAGTCCGGAGTTCGATCCTGACAAGCTCGAGGTTGATGCAGATTTCCATCCTTCTGAGGTCAGTAAAATGAGGACCCGGATTGTTGGGGGCAATATGCAAATAAGGGTTACTTCGTAAACCACCCAGAGAGTGCTGTGTAGGGGGCAGTATATAAGTCTAAATCAGGGGTCCTCAAACTTGGCCCTTTTATGACTTGTGGGCTTCAACTCCCAGAATTCCTCAGCCAGCAGTTGAAGTCCACAAGTCATAAAAGGGCCAAGTTTGAAGACCCCTGGTCTAAATGCTATTGCTATTGTTATTGTTAGAGTCACACTTCTCTGCTGCACCCATGTTATCATCATTGCTTGACTTCGCCCTGTCCCAATTTCCCCGAGATGGGTAGGGTGTTTCAGAGGGCAGGGGAAAGTCATGCTTCCAAAGTCCTAAAAGTTGGCAATACAAGTAGTCCTTGACTTACAACCACAACTGAGCCCAAAACTTCTGTTGCTAAGCGAGATATTTGTTAAGTGAGTTTTGTCCCATTTGACGACCATTCTTGCCATAGTTCTTAAGTGAATCTCTGCGGTTGTTAAGTTGCTAACACAGTTGTTAAGTGAAAATGGCTTTCCCATGGCCTTTCTTTGTCAGAAAGTTGCAAAAATGACCACCTGACCTTGGGACACTACAACCGTCATAAATATGAGTCAGTTGCCAAGCATTTGGATTTTGATCACGTGACCCTGGGGATGCCACAATGGTCATAAGTGTGAAAAATGGTCATAAGTCACTTCAGTGCCGTTGTAACTTTGAACAATCTCTAGCAATAGCACTTAGATTTATATACTGCTTCATAGTGCTTTATAGCACCCTGTAAGTGGTTTACAGAGTCAGCGTATTGCCCCCCTCCACAAATCTGGGTCCTCGTTTTACTGACCTCAGAAGGATGAAAGGCTGAGTCAACCTTGAGCTGGACAGGATCAAACTTCTGGCAGTGGGCAGAGTTTGCCTGCAATACTGTATTCTAACCACTGCACCACCACAGCTCTCTAAACAAATGGTTGTAAGTTGAGGATAACCTGTAGTGATATTTGTTCCTTCCTCTCATTACTTCCTTCACTGTTGCTTCTGGGCATGTCATAGTATATGGAATTAATGGTGGCTTCCCAATTGTCTCAGATAAGCAGGGTCAGAATGATTGTGAATGGTGGAACTGGAAGGAGAGGGAGCTGGGATTGGATAAGATATGGAGAAAAAATTACTGATATTTTCTCTTCCATCCAGCCGTCCGATGTGTCAGGCCTCTAGAATTTGAGAATGGTGTTTTCGAGACCTTCCAGCAATTTTACGACATAAACCAGGAGCTGAGGTTCGCTTGCTATGATGGATACCAGCTACGGGGCTCCCAGATTCGTACCTGTCTCCCCAATGGGAAATGGAGTGGAGAAACAGCCATATGTGATGATGGAAGTGAGTCTGACGATCATTTGTGATCAAGGTCTACCGTTTCTTCCCTTTGAGGAAATGGCTATCTAAATGTAAATTCTCAATCATCCAGGTCATGGTTGTACCAAAAATGCTTCTGAATGGAACTAAAGAAGCTAGTTGGATGAGAAGCAAAATGTTTCCGAAGAGAAACATGAAGTACTAATACCACTTTATAAAGCCTTAGTAAGACCACACCTTGAATACTGCAACCAGTTTTGGTCTCCACACTATAAAAAAAGATGTTGAGACTCTAGAAAAAGTGCAGAGAAGAGCAACAAAGATGATTAGGGGACTGGAAGTTAAAACATATGAAGAACAGTTACAGGAACTGAGCGTGGCTAGTCTAGTGAAGAGAAGGACCAGGGGAGACAAGATAGCAGTGTTCCAATATTTGAGGGGCTGTCACAGAGAGGAAGAGGTCAACCTATTTTCCAAAGCACCTGAAGGCCAGACAAGGAATAATGGATGGAAAGTGATCAAGGAGAGATTCAACCTGGAAATAAGGAGAAATTTCCTGACAGTGAAGGTCCCTTCCGACTCTGTTATTCAGTTAATTCTTAACATTCTTGAAGTCCACACATCTTCAAGTTGAGAAACGCTGGTCTAGAACACCAGAATTCAAAACCAATGTTTTCTCAAGGAATTTTTATCATACATTGATGATGCACTGTCTCGTTTGATGTTTGGTTTAACTGTTTGCCCCCTGGAGTCCTTGGGAATCTGGTGGCGCAAAAAACTGAATTTGCAGATAAATAAATAAATCGGTGTGTAATTCCCTCCCCCTCTCATTTTCAGCCGGCCATTGTCCTGATCCAGGAATTCCAATTGGTGCTCGAAAATACGGCACAGAGTACCAAGCAGATAGTACGGTCCGCTACCAGTGTTCGAGAGGGTTGTCTCTTATCGGATCTAAGGAAAGAGTTTGCCAAAGATCAGGAACTTGGAGTGGATCGGAACCAGAATGTCGAAGTGAGTAAACAGGGTAGGAAAAGACGGGCTTAGCATCTGAAAAGGTGAATCTAGAACTGTTATTGTTTTCTCTCTTTTTTTGGCATTATGGAACTTCCATATTATTATTTTTTTCTACTTTACACACACACACACAAACACAAAACAATACTGGGAAATAAATTCACTGTCTCCTTTTCTTTCCCAGGCCCATTCACCTTTGATTCTAAAGAAGAAATCAAGACCAAGTTCCTTCCATCCCTCACTGAAGTTGCTTTGTCTGCCAGTCAAGGTAGTAATACCCTTAAATTTTTGTAATCACGGTAGGCTAGGAGACAGGAACATCACTTTATACTGTTCTTTAATTGGAAAGATATTATTTTCTATCATCCTTGGTAGAAGGACTACTTGTTGAAGATTCTAATACAATACACTTCTGATTGGCTGCCAGCCTTGCTAGGTGGGCCAGGTCAGGAAGCTAACTGAAAAAGGCTCTTGAGAGGTTGCCAGAATTTCCTTCCACCCCATCTTAAGCCAAGCAGAATCAAGGTGTGGGGAGATGTGCCCTGGGCATCTTTATGGGGGGGAAAGAACACAGTAATGTCATGCTGCAAACTCCATGGCTTATCTCAGGGTCTCCAAACTTGCCAACTGTAAGACTTGTGAACTTCAACTCCCAGAATTCCCCAGCCAGCATGAAATTCACAAGCCTTAAAATTTGCCAAGTTTGGAGGCCAACACTCCAGAAGACAGGCTCAAGATCCAGACGGATCTCAACAGACTTGAATACTGGATCCTATCTAACAAAATGAAATTCAAGGTAGAGAAAAGTAAGGTTTTATATTTAGGCAAGAAAAATCAATTGTAGGGGTACAGATTAGGTGCAACCTGGCTCAACAGCAGTAATTGCGAAAGAGATCTTGGAGTCCTAGTAGACAATTACTTAAATATGAGCCAGCAATGTGCAGCACAGAAGCCAAAAAAACCAGCAAAAACCTAGGTTGCATTAACAGAGGGATAGAATCAAGATCACGTGAAGTGTTAGCTCCGCTTTATAAAGCCTTGGTAAGACCACACTTGGAATATTGCATCCAATTTTGGTCGCCACGAGGTAAAAAAGGTGTTGAGACTCTGGAAAAAGTGCAGAGAAAAGCAACAATGATTAGGGGACTGGAGGCTAAAACATATGAAAAACAATTGCAGGAATTGGGCATCTCTAGTCTAGAGAAAAGAAGGACTAAGGGTGATATGATAGCAGTGTTCCAATATCTAAGGAGCTGCCACAAAGAAGAGGGGGGTCAATCTATTTTCCAAAGCACCAAAAGACAAGAAGCAATGGATGGAAACTAATCAAGAAGAGAAGCAACCTAGAATTAAAAAGAAATTTCCTGACAATGAAAACAATTAACCAGTGGAAAAGCTTGCCTTCAGAAGTTGTGGGTGCTCCATCATTGGAGGCTTTTGAGAAGAGATTGGACAACCATTTGTCTGAAACGGTATAGGGTTTCCTGCCTGAGCAGTGAGTTGGACTAGAAGACCACCAAGGTCTCTTCCAACTCTGTTATTCTGTTAATCTGTTAGACCTTCTGCCTTATGTACGGGCATTTAACACGGGGACGCAAGAATTTTATTTTTATTTTATTCATACACTCCCTTTATTATTTTTACAAATAACTCAAGGCTGCAAACATATCCAACAGATCTTCCTTCTCCTATTTTCCTCACAACAACATCCCTGCAAGGTGGGTTGGGCTGAGAGAAAGTGCTTAGTCCAAGGTCACCCCGCCCGGCTTTCATGGCTAAGGTGGGACTTGAACTCACAGTCTCTGGCTTTCTAGCCTGGTGCCTTAACCACTAGACCAGGGGTAGGCAACCTTGGCTCTTTTATGACTCATGAACCTCAACTCCCAGAATTCCTGAGACAGCCATGCTGAGGGGACAGGGAGAAGTTTCCAAGCTGAGCCATGCTGGCTCAGGAATTCTGGGAGTTGAAGTCCACGAGTCATAAAAGAGCCAAGGTTGCCTACCCCTGCACTAGACCAAACTGGCTCTCTTTTTTCATAATTTGGGATGTCATAATTTTGTTGTGACACACATGTCCATATGATTGCACCCTCATGTTCCCTGGCCTGTTTTTTTTTTAAACATTAGGCTTAAATTATTATTATTATTATTATTATTCCTCTCAGGAGCATCAGCTAACAACAAAAGTGACCAACTTAATATCTACTTTGTCCTTGACGCCTCACAAAGCTTTGGCCGAACAAGATTCACAAAGGCTAAGGAAGCTTTGAACAAGTTAATCGAGAAGGTAAGTTCCATTTTGAAAGCTTCCTTGCCAACTGGTTTGTTTCAACAGAACTGAAAGCAGCTTGAACTACAAGACCTATGCTCCAGGGCTGATAATATTCCTAGAAAGCTCTAATGGCACATGGAGGAAGGGCAGATAGCTTTTGGAAAAATGGGGATAGGGTCATTTTTGAACACTGGCCAAACTATAGAAATTGCCTTGTTAGTTAGGCCAGGGGTCCCCAACCTCCGGGCCATAGACTGGCACCAGCACCGGTCCACAGCATGCTAGAAACTGGTCCATGCAAACAAGCGAAGCCCCATCCACGGGATGCAGGCAGCGGCCGAAACCACACCCTCTCTGGTCTGCGGAAAAACCTCTCTCCACAAAACCGGTCCCTGGTGCCCAAAAGGTTGGGGACTGCTGAAGTAGGCAACAAGCATACAGTTAAGGTGACCAACTTTTTTACAATGAAAAGGAGGACACAAATAAATTGAAGAAAAAAATATCGTAAATAAAACAAACATTTTATTCATTGCAACAATAATACAGAATACACTATAATATGATAAATGCATAATAAAAAACATTTGTAACAATAACATTTTATATTTTAATTATGCTTACATGCCGCACCCCCACCCGCAGCCGCCCCACCAGCTGCCCCGCCATGTAGAGCGGGCCCCGTGGCTCCCAAAGCACCAGCTGCACTGGCTACGGCCCCAGGGAGCAGCCCCCCGTCGACACACCCCGCCTGCAGCCGCCCCGCCAGCACCACCGCCCATCCTGCACAGCCCCATGTAGAGCAGGCCCCGCGGCTCCCACAGCACGGGGGGCAGCCGGCCACCGCCGCCCCTCACACCCTTGCCCGCAGCAGCCCCGCCGCCCCTGTCTCTTGCGCCTGCAGCCATTATTGCCGTAGCAGGGCGGAAGATCAAGAGAAAGTTACCGTGGCGTTGCTGCTCCAGTCTCCTCCAGGTATCTTCGGGACTAACTAGGAGATGGTGTAGTTGGGTAGCAGGGAGGGGTGCAAAGTTCCTGCCAATTCGCCTTCGCTGCAGACAACTTGCATGTGCAAAGTTTGCCGGCCCGGTGTTTTGGCACGCTCAGCAGCAATTCCTATTGGCTTTCGAAAGCCAATAGGGGAAGTAGCACAGCTCATGCAAAAGTTGAAAAAAAAACATCAAAAAAAGGTGCCGGAACGCCGTTCTGAGCGTTCTATGAGAAAAAAAAAAGCCCTGCAGATTAGTCTTCAAATATCGAAAAGGAGGACATGTCGGAGGACACTTTTCGAGGGAGGACAGAACTCCCAAAAGGAGGACTGTCCTCCCTAAAGGAGGACGGTTGGTCACCTGAATACAGTATATATATAACCTATCTATTCTGAGACGTGATACAGGTAATAATCAAGTTTACGAGCATTCCTGTAAATAATGTTCAAAAATTACAATTATGCTGAAAAAGGTTATTTGCAACCAGTTCTCACACTTAGCCACTATGGCAGTGTCCCCAATCCGAAATTCGTGCACTTGGTAACTTGGCGTGTATTTACTGTATGACAGTTTCGGCATCCTGGGGTCACGTGACCACCATTTGGGACCTTCCCGGGAGGCTTCCAAACCAGCAAAATTAAGGGGGAGAAACTGGATTTGCTTAATGACTGAGTGATTCGCTTAATGAGCAAAAAAGGTCGCACAAGTGGCACAATTCACTTAACGACCGCATCACTTAGCGATGGAAGTTCCAGTCCCCGGTTGTGTTCGTAAGTTGAGGGCTACCGGTATGACTTCTAAAAAATAAATAAAATAAATAATAACCGTACAAATTCTAAGGCCAAACTCATTTAACAACTGTCTCGCTTAGCCACAGAAATATTAAGGTCAATTAGTCACATCATCATCAATAAGTAAAGATTTACAAGAACAAGGCCATGCCAAGCAGCAATCTATGGAAATGAAAGGAGATCCAAAATCACAGAGGATGACTCGTGCAGCCCATAGACGCAAAGAGAGAGAGCAACAACAATTGGAAGTGACACCTATAACACAGCAAGTAATCTCAGAGCCAGTGGCGGGAGCGAGACCAAAGAGATCAGTGATCTGGGCAGGCAAAAAGCCAAGAGTTAAGTTTAAAATTATACAAGATGCAAGGGAACGAGGAGGACTTAAAGTTCCTAATTTAAAATTGTACTATGATGCTGTGGCATTGACATGGATTAGTGATTGGTTAAACTTAACAAATAAGAATATACTTTCTCTTGAAGGATGGGATTTGTTATTTAGTTGGCAGGCATATTTAATATATGATAAAAAGGTGGACTCAAATTTCAAGGCTCATGTTTTAAGGAGTGCTTTATTACGAGTTTGGAAGAAATATTATTACAAATTAAATTATAAAATTCCTATATGGGCAGTTCCAGCACAGATAATAGAAGGGATTTCCAGGGGAGTTAATTTGGATAAAGTTTCTTATAAGGAATT